ATTCAAAGAGGGACACAGCCCCCCTACTATTTCGTGTAGAAGGGTTAGCAGATGCTAAAATAAGTTCCACCTCAAGGCAATTCTGAAATTAATTGCTCCTCCATAATCATCAGTCATTCTTCTTTGAGGCAACGAGATGTATCGAGAGTTGTGAATGGTGAAAAGATCATTACTGAAATATCTTCCGTTAACATGAAGATCAACGCCTAAGAAACATCAGTTTAGCTGCAAGCAATCAAGGTATATATCTCAGTTGAGTGTATGAATTGTTTATTGCCTCCACATCTTCTGATCCATACCCTTTGTAGCTACAGTAACAAATTCTGACCTCAAGAGATTTTGGACAACCTGACTGAATCCCTACAACCAGCCGTGTTTAGAGTCTGGCGCCACTGCAAATTTTCCTGTAGACATGTTATCGCTTGCCAACGCGCTTGTTTAGCCTTTAAGGCCGATGCAGGATGACTGTTAGCAGTTAATAAGGAATTTTATAGATTTGTTGTTATATTTGTTATTTTACTAATATTTGATTTAATCTCTAATTTTAGCTAAAGATATCCTTAGGATTAGATTTCGGATTGTTAGGATTTTTGAGATTTGTTTTGTTAGAGATTTTATCTTTGCTTCCTTTTTATTAGGATTTGGTTAGGATTTGATCAATTTTGTAGGTTTAGTTTTTCTCTAAAAATAAAGTTATAATCCTTCATGAGTTGGACAATGATTACTGAAAAGAAATGTTTTTGAGATGTGAAATCTTTATTAGCATTGTGAAGTGCTAAAATTATGACATGTAAAGTGTTGGGGTCTGATGTCCTTGGGGTGTGAGGCCCTTCTTTTATCCTAACCCTCCAATTACAATATCTTTCAACCAAAATTCACTCCGATCAAACATATATCTTAGCCATTTATCTTCTCAAAAAAAAGGTCTACCATTGTTCAAAAATATCGAAAGAGAACCTAAAACACCAAAAGGCGAAGTACTGCACGGTTGAACAATAACCCGTGCACTATTCAAATCGGTAACTTTCGTGTTGTTCGTGATGGATTACAACACCATTGTGTGAAACCGTCGCCAATTTCTCACCTCCCGATCGAAGCCCTCACGTCTTTCCCCATCATAGACCTTCTAATTTAGCTTCCAACATAGTATGGTCCTTACTGCACTCATGCCTAAGTGTTTTCAACCCTGGAGGATCTTGAAACCCCCTGACAGCTTCCTCACACGTGGCTAATCGCTACACTACAATATTGAGGATGATCAATGGTATCATATCTTTTTAGCATAATTTTATTCAGGCGGTCATAACTTTATGAATTAGCAAACTTTTGTTTGAGCCTGATTCCTGTAGCCCCTCCTTTCCTTTACAAGGCGAAAATGTGTAATCTGCGCATGAAACCTTTGTTCTCATATACAACATTCGAGGGTTCTTCGATTTCTTCATTGGAAGGATCTTGTATTGTGTATTATATTTTTGCATTAAAAGATTCATAGGAGGAACTAGAGGTGGCCATTGTGAAATTAAGATCAATGCTAAGAATGATAAGGCTTCTTTCTTATCTTTGACCAATCTGCTCCTGCTCACCGTTGAGTGCTAAAAGGTTTATTGGAGATTTTACGCTGAATGCTCGTCTTTAATCTGCTTGTCCTGGATTTTCACGGGACTCCTCAGATTTATTTCTCCCTGTTCTGTTTTCATTTCTGTGATTTTGTTAAGCTCAGGTGATTTATATATCTGGAAGAGCAACGGAAGAAACTTGGAATTTGGACACATGCACAAAATGATTTAGTTGGTTCGAGGTCTGCACTGTACTTGGACTTTAGGTTTATCTTACGTCATACAATCGTAATCAATTTGATGGGATGATTTCTCATTGTGAATCAGGTAAAATTGGCATTTGGATATATACCTGCATGCTGCAGTCATTCACAAGAAATCCCTCTCTGTACTCACTGGTAAAATTTTATCAATCAGACAACTGTGGGTTCTTTATTTGAAAGCATAGTTTATATTGTTAGATATCACCTGATTCTTGACCTAACAGAACCTCGCTTCAGAAACAATCAAGACTGGAGATAAAAGCTCGTGCACAGCGTCTGAAATTGCTGGAGGATGCTCTCAGCTCATCTATTTTCACTATTATTATTATTATTATTATTATTTTCTTTCTTTTGGTAAGAAAGCAAGCTAGCTCCTACGGTTATTTGTTTATTTTCCTTGTTTGGAGCTAGTCTAAATAGTTACCCTCAGCAGTATATTAGATTCACACCGTTTTGGAAGCTTTGATGGTGTTAACAACCAATACTTTTTAGAAGATCTTTTTTATTCGGACCTTGTTAGGTTTGCCAGGCCGTAATTGATTCTTGAAGCTTTAACCACATTTGGAATCGTTAATAAGATTATTTAGGTTGTAGGCATTTCGTCTTCTCCTCGTTAGGTCCTGTATCTAGTACTAGGGTTATCAATGCAATTAATCTCCGGTTCAAAATCTAGGGACCAGCATAATTAATGCATCACCATATAGCATCAAGCCAGAAACCATATATATAGGTTGTCTCCTATTGAGGGTAAATTAAGCGAGAATCAATTGAGTTGATTTTGACTATGTGCAATAACGGAGGGTACAAAATACTCCAGTTAAGCGAGACGTAAGATTATAACCGACGGAAAGATAGGATTAATTAGAGTTAATTAAGAGACTTGGAAGCAGTTAAGAACATTAATACGGTGGCGGTTACCTCGTCTATAAATGGAATAGTAAGATTCATGGCCGAGCCCAAAAATTTGGGATCACATGCATTTCGTTGTTATTGCTGTTGGTTTGACCATCTCCTAGAGATCATGATCTATCTTTTACCAATGGCGCGCAAATTGTAAAGCTATTACATGTGCTGTCTTCTTATAATAGTTTTCCTACTATGAACAAGTAGCAAACATAATGATAGCTTTACAAATTTCTCATGACGATGATGATGATATGTTCTGATCATCCCCAGCCTAATCTTTCGAAGTTAAACAAGCTAAGAATAAGACAGATATATAGCTCTGATAATTAGCTCTATCTACTGCGACTGAAGCTGGAGCCTTCACTTGCAACGAGGTGGTATCCAATGTTCCCCAAGGAAATAGAGAGAATATGGGGACTTCCTAATTAAGATAGCTCCTTTTTCAGCATTTTGTCATCAAACTGGCTAGCTGCTGCTTTTTTGAATTCAATTATATATATATAGAACAAATTAACATGTGACTTTTAGCTAGGAACATTATTGAATCCCTAGAAGCAAGCTCAGCCCTTTATCTTCATTAGAGTGATAAAGGTATTTATCATCTTTGCTCAGAGCTCATGCTTGTCATCACTAGGTTACTCCGTGGACTCTCCTTCGGCATAGACTCATAAGGATCGATAAGGTATTTATCATCTTCTCTTCATTGACGGTGTATCTATATATTAAGGTAACATAATGTAATTATCTCTAGCTTGAATTGAAGACTGGGGACTGGGATTAATAATCACCGTATACCGTTCAAAGCCTTGGTGTTATCATCATAGGATGTTATGATGTATGGACTGCATGCGTTCATATATAGGAGGCTAGGTGCTTCTATAAAAAATAGAATCGATTGGGATAGTTTGTCCCGGCTCGGAGAAGAATATAATTGGAACAAAAAGGTGTAGAGATGGATCCAAGAGAATTTGGAAGGAAGTAATTGAAAATGATATGCTAGTTTTAATTAATTATACAGAGGAAATTAATGATACTACATTGAACTAGACTCCAGAATAAGATTCATATAACCATCCTCTACAGCTCCCACTCTTCCCCACCTATCTTTGGAAATTGAACAAATTGAAGATTAGACGCTCTATATACTACAATTTCATCAGAGTCCACAACCAGGCGTGGAAATGAACCAAATAGTTAATAAACTTATTATTCGTCTAGATATTTAGTCATATTCGACTTAGTAGTTCATTTAATATATAGTAAACAATTTTTTTATATTCAACTGATCATAAATGAATACAATTTTACCAGAGGTATATTCGATTTGGTTGATAATTGAATATTTGTTTATGCTTTATATTTTATTTCTCTAAATTTAATTTATCATAACAATTTATCCTTTAAAGTTGCACTTGAGATATTCATCACGCCGATATATAGCATAACAATATCTATAGCATAACAATATCTATCAGACATAAATTCTTATTATAATTTTAGTTAAGACTATATCCTTAAGCTGCTAAACATGTTTGCTAGAAAATGAAATTTCTATAGATTCGAAATCTATAATGAGATATTGTTCTACTTCTACATTATTGAATTATACTAACTTTTTGTGTCATATAACATTATAACTATTACTATTGATAAATATATAAATTAATAAATATTTTATGGGAAATTGAGAAATATTGATTGATAAACAAGGGTGATTACATCGTTATGAATGTCCTGAGAAATAACATTAATTGTGACAAACATAAAACCATGTATGAGCTGGAATATTGAAGCAAAAAAATCTAGCAAGAGAATAAGCTGCTATATTGTCGATCTCTATGCATTAAGACAAAATTGCATTTTGAGAAAGCTATAGCCTCCAAATAAATCTATTCACAAATATGCCCAAAAGTAGCCCAACTGATTCCATCTTCTGAACTCTGAAAGCTGATTGAGCACAACACTTGCATCAAACTCAATTTTCACAGCAGTTCCACCCATACTTCTACCTGAACGGACACCAAGAAGTAGTGCCAATGCCTCGACTATAGATGGTGAATATTCAACAACACAACTACCACCATAATAATCATCATGTAGTTAGGCAGCATGTTAAAAAAGACAAAATAAATAAAATGCAAAAACAGGATTAATTCAAACCCATGACCTCAAGTTAAACATTTAAACGCCTCAACCAAGCCTGCTAGCAAGCATTCATGTGTATTTACCGAATGCTTGTTTAATTAACCAAATCAGATTTAAACACCTTCTACCTATTCAGCATGAATTCGAATTCGAATTCGAGGGAGCAAACCGAATTCGAATTCGGACGTAAAGATACACGTACCCCTATCCGCAACGAAGGGGTAGTTAGTGTCGGCAGGCACTCTGTAGGAATCCAACGTATAGACATTTAGTAGGGCTTTTAGGAATTATATCGAGTTTTGAGCCAGGAGAATCAAAACCCAGCCCTTTGTCTTCTTCGTCACTATCCAACTCCTACCTTTCCTCCGAGGTTCACGCTACTTACCTCTGGCCCCCTTCCATCAATTAAAAAATAATTAGTTTGATTGCTTAATCATGTTAGCCCGTTCGTACGTAGGTTGGGGCTTCAATGTCAGGATAACTGAATAAGACAATTATTTGATACTTCAACAAGAAACGCGCCGGTCTTAATACTTCAACTACGCGGGCTTTGCTTCGGTGCTCCTGAAATCGTTTTATTAATTTATTTTTTAAAAAAAGGGTAAATTTGGAAAAACAAAAGTTCTTCGTCCCCGCCAAATTCTCATCCACAGAATTCCATCGAACGTCGTATAAATCCGTTTAAATAGAATCATTAGGTAAATTACAGTAAGAAAATTCATCATTAAAGATATCAACAAGAAATATAACGTGTGATTGAATGCAATACAAGGGAATTGGATCCGAAGAAAATCGACCATCAGCCATGTTGATGAGCTGAAACAAAGCAATCACGTCCGTTCAAAATCTCAATTGTTTAGTTGAAAATTGACCGAATGAAAAGGCTCCCAAGGCCTAAGAGATAGCCATTGATTTCCCGTTAGATTGGCCCGGCGGCGGCACTCATGATCTCGGGCTCAATATTCTAGAGAAAGAAGAAGCTCGTATTTCATAGGATCGATGACCATATCAAAAATTAAATTCCATTAGATTTGGCCATCCGCGCAATGATTTAGGGGGTTGGAGAAGAAAACAACGTCAAACAAATAAAGACCCCGACATTTTCATTAATTACGAAACTGACAGTGGGACTCATTGTAAACATAACCACAGCATGATGGGAAAACTGGAGAGCGGAAATTACGGATTTTAATTACAGTTTGTGCCATCGTTATTCAAAAAATTATTTTTTTGGAGCACAGACGATGTTGTCTTTAAGTATTACTTTACTTAGCAGCACGATGAGATAAACCTTCTTTAGTTTATCACCAATTTGAACATAAAAGTATAAAACTCTCCCGTCTTTGTGTCGAATGTAGAATCTTTTACATAAAATTTGCGGCATAACCGATGTGATGTGAGATAACAGATATTTTTCTGTACCTAGGCCTTTTTTAATGTCAAATCGTTCATGCATAAAATTCAAATGTCTCCTCTTCTACGTGAATAAATGAAAGACCTTGATTGTTTTCCTTGCGGACAAATGAAAGCGCGCCTTGACAATTAGGGGCACATTCAGTCACGATATGGCTTGGATATGATACTTATCATATCTATATCCGTTTACACATCTCAGATACGGATACATATACATATACGGATACAGATATATTTCGGTAAGAAAAATTCATGTTCATGTCCGCTAAAATCGGATACAGTAACGGATATACATGTGGATATGTAAGCGGGTATGCATGCAGTGAGAAAACTAGATAGTATCGTTCATATGATACAAAAGAATTCGTTAATATATTCATTATAACTAAAGAGCTTAGATTAGACATTTTGGTCATCAAAATTAACCACAAACCCATTATCTAATTAAGAATTAAAACTATCGTAAAAGTATGACTAATATGTATCCAGATACTTTGGATACAGATCCAGATATTTTACTATAACACCATATTCGTAACCATATCTTATCGGTTATAGATTTAAGTAACCATATCCGTATATTAACTGAAACGGTTACGGATATTTCCTCCGATACGGAAACGGTTTAGCACACCTATTGACAACACTATAAAGTTCTCAACGTCACATTAATTAAATACCAACTACTTCTTTTACTAACCATCAAGAAAATCTCCTGGGCTTCAAAGGACCACTAGTTACATAGCTAATGTAGCGTACAAGATAAGACTCTTACTAATCATCAAGAAAATTTCTTGGGCTTCAAATGACCACTTACATAGCTAATGTAACGTACAAGGTAAGAGCTAATATACTGTGGCCACCACCAAAACACACCCACACACACACACCCTCCTTAGCTTTGCTTGCTCTCTTGCTAGCCGAACTACATCGCCGGGACGCTAGTCGAGAAGGGCATGACGTGGTGGCAGGGTCTCATCGTCGTCGTCGGAGCCAAGGCCGTCCTCCTCCTCCCTCTCATCCTCCACGCCCAACCGGGTACCAAATACGGTATCCCGTTCCCCGTCCTCGCCCGCTCCGCCTTCGGAGTTCGTGGGGCCCACGTCCCCGCCCTGCTCCGTGCGCTCGTCGCCTGTGGCTGGTATAATTAATTGAAACTGATCAATCTCATATGCATAACTCTTTGCATTAAAAATAATAATAATAATAATAATTTAATGAGACAACAGCCGTTTGCTGATGTCAGGTTTGGCATCGAGACATGGCTCGGAGGACAAGCGATATTCATCCTCCTTCCTTCATCCGTAAAAAGCTCGTCTTGGGCGAAGCCGATACATGGCTCGCGACTTCTCCCCTTCGAGTTGTCCTGCTTGCGGTCTTCTGGCTCGCTCAGCTAGCGGTGCTCTGGAAAGGATGCGCGCCGGCTCCGATCCTCATCTCCCTCGCGTCCCTGCTCCTATCGTGGGCCTATGTTAAAGCCGGTGGGCTCGGCCCAATGCTTAATCAGCCCATTAAACTCTCACCGGCCGAATTCTGGGCCCTCTTCTTCCCTTCCCTCACTGCCAACGTCGGCAGTTGGGGAGCAATGGCCCTCAGCATCTCCGACTTCACCCGGTATGCCCGGAGCCAACGCGACCAAGTCCTGGGTCAACTGGGCCTTCCGTTGTTCATGGGCTCGTTCTCCTTCGTGGGCCTCGCAGTCACATCCTCCACCGCGGTCATGCTTCGGGCACATCATCTCGAACAACCCCGTCAGTCTCTTATCCGCCATCGGCGGCGCGTTGACCATGACGTTAGGTATTCCGGATAAGTCTAGCGATTTTGACCACCAAACATCGCCGGCGAACATCGTGGCCCCCGCCAACGCTCTTGTCAGCCTGAGCCCATCGAAGTTCGGCTTCAAAACGCGGCGCGTTGCTTACGCGGCCCTCATGCGGTGCGCGTCGTGTTCAGCCGTGGAGGATCGTCAACTGCGCCGATAGCTTCGTGTAGCACTTGGCTCGTAGGCTACTCTGGCGGTCATGGGTCCCGCGGTATCGGCATAACGTTAACGGATTACTACGTGATTCGCCGCACTTTTATCGACGTCGACGAGCTGTACTCGACGAGTCCGTCGGGGATGTATTACTACTGTAAAGGGTATAATTTGGCGGCGATTTTGAGCCTGGTGGTGAGTTTGGGTCCTATTGCGCCTGGGTTTTTACGTAAGCTGGGTTTGGTTGAGGAGCTGGGCTTTGTTTGGGTTTGGATTTACAATGTGGGTTGGTTCTTTGGGTTCTTTTGCTCAGCGATTACGTACTTTGTGCTGGTTCGTTTTCTTGGGGGCGTCGGGGGTTACTGCAAGGTTAAGGGTGAGGATATTAATGGTGGTAACTCTTTGGCGGATCCAATGCTGCCTTCTACAGTACTGGAGTAATTTCCTTTTTGCTTAACGAAATAAAGCGCGAATGTTGTAATTTTCGTATTTGTATATCAAAAAGATTATCTATACTGCTATATTATATTCTATTCTTAGCGTGGGTATCAACTCTAAGCGTGTGCGTCAAAAAGATTGAAGGACGTTTCCCATATAGTAGAATAGCAGGTGGCATATTGGTGATTTTTGCACACGAAAGATTGTTTCCCTTTCTTTTGCTTCTTCTCTTATTTCTAGGATATAGAATAGGATTTTATTCACAATAATTAATATTTATCAATTTCTTATTTCTAGAACATTCTAAATCATGAACGACGATTTGAACTAACATAATTAAATATTCATCAAGTTATATGTTATAAGAGACTAAAATATAAAATGATAAGAGTTTTTTCTAAAGTAATGATTACATACATGTCAGCAAAATATAATGATTTAAAAAATTTATTCTATTGAGAGAAAAAGTATTTTATACAATTTTTACTTGACATTAATCAAATGGAAAGGTGTATTCTCATGTTCGAATAAGATTGGAATATTATATTTTTATAAAATTATATCTTAACTATTTTGGAGTATGATATAAAGTTCAGAAGCTAATGAAACGTTAGGGTATTAAAATATAATTCATTATTTTTTATATAAAATTTAGAATAACTAAGTTTAATATCTGCAGCACATGCATTTGTCCGTCAATAATGCTAGTGCTAATAATAATTTTACTTTTAATTGCTTTGGTAATGAATGACCAATGTAGTTAATTTTGGTATTCACACGTGAACAGGTAAATTGGTTATGTTCATCAAAATTCTTTTCTTTCTACAGCAAGTAAGCTTCAGGTTAGATGAGATAAGTATCAATCATACAATGTAAATGTTGTTGCGTGGAAGGGAATTGAAGAAAATCAAAGAAAGAACTACCAGCAACAATTCTTTTTAGAGAAATAAAAGTTCTTCATTTAACTGTTTCTTCCATTTTGAGATGGGAAAATTTACAAAATAGACCGTTTTTGCTAATTATTTAGCAAAATAGATCGTTTTGCTAAATAATTAGCAAAATTTGGCCAAAAAGAGGTCTATTTTACAAAACAGCTCAGAAAACATACGGGACTAGTAGTCCCGTATGTTTTAATCACGGATTAGTAAACGCTAATTATTTCACAAAACATTGAGATGAACTCAGAAAACATACGGGACTACTAGTCCCGTATGTTTTCTGAGTCACTAATCCGTGATTAGTTGGCTCTAAACATACGGGACTAGTAGTCCCGTATGTTTTCTGAGCATTGTTTTTCAAAATCGATCGTTTTTTTTAAAAGAGGTCTATTTTGCTAATTATTTAGCAAAACGGTCTATTTTGCTAAATAATTAGCAAAAACAGTCTATTTTGCAAATTTTCCCTTTTGAGATTCATGTTTGCGTGTAGTCTGTGTAGACATGCATTTTCAAATGGATTCACGAATCTCAGAACAAAAGAAATGAATAAATAAAGGGGAAAATGTTTTAAGGCCCCCCAAAAAAAAATCGGATGTGACCCAGCCCCCCATACTTTTTCCCTTATGTTTCAGCCCTTTCACATTCTCCCAGAAATTTTTTTCCCGAAATTACCCTTCCCCTCTTCTTCTTCTTCTCCTCTGCCTCCTCTCCCCTCTCTTCTTCTTCTTCTTCTCCTCCTCTTCTTCTTCTCCAGACCCTTTTAATTAAACAAAAGAGGCAGTGTTTACTAAACCATCCCTGTAGTCTCTTTTAACCCCATCCTCTGCTACTAATGAATCACAAGAGGCCACAATTTTTGAGATCCGCTAGCTACTAAAGATTCTCTCTCTCTCTCTCATCTCTAAATTTTCCGATGGCGGAGGTGGCGCCTCGCGAGAGCGATGGAATCCCAGGCGAGCCCTCGGACGCCGTGGTGTTTGTCGGGATCTCTCTCGTTCTCGGAATCGCTTCAAGGCACGTGCTTCGGGGGGCTAGAGTTCCGTACACCGTCGCTCTTCTCATCATCGGCATTGTCATGGGATCTCTAGGTTAATTATTCTCTCTCTGTGTTTTTTGGATGTTAATTTGAGTACAACAGTAGTTTCTCTGTAATTAACTTGAGTTCCTTTGATTAAGCTGATATCGCAGTTTTATCGTTTTGATGATTGATGTTTGGTTGTTAAGGCTTTTTTTGCCTTAATTATGTGATTTGTGAATTGACTTAAGGTTTCCACCCCTTGTGAATTGCCTTAAGTAAACTGACGCCTGATGGCTTTTCAGGCTTTAATGATGATGATTATTATTTCTTTTCATTAGAAATAGAGTTAAATTGAGTGTTTTGATGTTGAATTATGTCAACGTATTGAGGATTTGATGTGGATCTGTTCTTTATCTTGATTTCTTGCAGATGAGATTTCTTGCACACAAGGTGTTTGATATAATGCATTGGTGAGAACTTTCTTTTCATTAGAAATAGAGTTAAATTGAGTGTTTTGATGTTGAATTATGTCAACGTATTGAGGATTTGATGTGGATCTGTTCTTTATCTTGATTTCTTGCAGATGAGATTTCTTGCACACAAGGTGTTTGATATAATGCATTGGTGAGAACAAATGGTTTTATTAGAGAGAATGACTCAATCTCAGGTGTGTGTTATAATTTGACTATTATCATTTGCTAGTGTATATGTGTTGGTCACATATGAGGAGGTGGAAAACATTGTTTATTTGTTACACTGATGATATAGGTGATATTAGTCCAAATGGTGCTTTCAAGCTCAAATTTAATAAATGAGGATGTCTATTTCTTGTTGATTTCTTTTTTCATGGTATCCTTGACATTAAAAATTAAATAGATTCTTGTCACATATTTTCGTTAATGGACTGTGGTAGAGACACTAATTGCATTATTTCAAATAATGATGGGTCATCTCCGTGTTGCCAGTCCAAATGGCACTTTCAGGTTGAAATTTGACAAAACCTAGCACTGATTTGCATGAAGTGTGTACTCATAACACGTTAAGTTTCAACTAACCATGTTAACGTTCATCATAACATGCTAACTTTCAGCTGAACATGTTAACTTTCATCATAATATGTTAACATTTCCTATTACATGTTAACTTTAATCATAATAAATTAAATTGAAGCTATAATAGTTACATGTTAAGATTATTGAGTTCTTGTATATCTTTTGCAGAAAAACTAGCAGAAAAACAAAAGGGAAAAATAAAAACAAGAGAAAGAAAGGGGAAAATGTTAACTATAATAGTTCTATGTTGACTTTTAGAATAACGTGTTAACTTTCATCCTAGTATGTTAACTTTTCATATTGAATGTTAACTTTTGCTGCTTTATGTTAACTTTCATCCAAACCTGTTAACTTTCACTGCTTTATTTTCATAGAAGCCATCAAGTTCTATTTGAAAGAAGTTGTACATATTCACATGACAACCACAATATATTTCACATACAATCGTAACAAATTACACCAAAATTGATCACTAAATAGACACAATACATTTTATTAAATTTTGGTATATATTTTACATACAATCGTAACAAATTACACTTTGAAATGGCATCTGCAGATGCCTGATGTTCTCCTGAATACTTGTATAACTCAGCAAAAGTCAGCAGGGATTCAATATGGTAAGGATAATGTGCTAAGATGCTTGCAATCGCATTAATATCATTGATGGCTTTTGCAGCTTCAAATGGGATCATCAGTACAACAATCTTAGAATTGAGTAGTAGTCACTGGAGGATGCTTCGACATTCCACAACCATAATAATTATAACACACGTTTGAGATTGAATCATTCTTTCCAATAAAACCATTTCTTCTCACCGAGATATTATATCAAACACCTTGTGTGCAAGCAATCCCCATCAGTTTGGGCTTCAAAGACCAATCGAATATCTTCCCAAATCGAGCCAATATCTCTCTGCATCCCAAATCATCTCATATTCACAATCCTCGTTGCTTTTTTTAAACGTTTCTACGAAAATAAAGCAGTGAAAGTTAACAGGTTTGGATGAAAGTTAACATAAAGCAGCAAAAGTTAACATTCAATATGAAAAGTTAACATACTAGGATGAAAGTTAACACGTTCTGCTAAAAGTCAACATAGAACTATTATATTTAACATTTTTCCCTTTCTTTCTCTTGTTTTTATTTTTCCCTTTTGTTTTTCTGCTAGTTTTTCTGCAAAAGATATACAAGAACTCAATAATCTTAACATGTAACTATTATAGCTTCAATTTAATTTATTATGATTAAAGTTAACATGTAATAGGAAATGTTAACATATTATGATGAAAGTTAACATGTTCAGCTGAAAGTTAGCATGTTATGATGAACGTTAACATGGTTAGTTGAAACTTAACGTGTTATGAGTACACACTTCATGCAAATCAGTGCTAGGTTTTGTCAAATTTCAACCTGAAAGTGCCATTTGGACTGGCAACACGGAGATGACCCATCATTATTTGAAATAATGCAATTAGTGTCTCTACCACAGTCCATTAACGAAAATATGTGACAAGAATCTATTTAATTTTTAATGTCAAGGATACCATGAAAAAAGAAATCAACAAGAAATAGACATCCTCATTTATTAAATTTGAGTTTGAAAGCACCATTTGGACTAATATCACCTATATCATCAGTGTAACAAATAAACAATGTTTTCCACCTCCTCATATGTGACCAACACATATACACTAGCAAATGATAATAGTCAAACGGAACATATACATAAATTCCAGGATATTATAAAAACAAACTCCCCAATTTTAAGCATCTCTTGAATCAATTTCAGACACAACAGATCTATCATCTTCTTCCTTCAATGAATGTATCATCTCGGCAACTTGACTCATAGTTGGTCGAGCATCGGCAGATTTGTATATGCACTTTAATGCAATCTGAAGAAGCTTCACCATTCTATCTTCAACTCTAGCCCCCCGAAGCACGTGCCTTGAAGCGATTCCGAGAACGAGAGAGATCCCGACAAACACCACGGCGTCCGAGGGCTCGCCTGGGATTCCATCGCTCTCGCGAGGCGCCACCTCCGCCATCGGAAAATTTAGAGATGAGAGAGAGAGAGAGAATCTTTAGTAGCT